TATATATATATATATATATATATATATATATATTACTATCATATGAAATGATACTGATCCTCGCGGTTCTGGAGTACACACTGGGCTTTTATTAGCTCCATCGCGTGAATACTGATGATCTTGCACTTTGGAGAGAAACCAAAGAAAAAAAGAAATGAAAAAGGAAAACAATGTGAAACAATATACATTACATATATTTATAAAATAGAAATAGACTGATCTGTACACACATATATATATATATATATATACTTTTTCTTCCCTCTTTTCTTCTTTTTTTTTATTTTTATTTTTATTTTATTATCATGTGTGTGTGTATGTATGTATGTTGAATTTGTTTCTTGGAGTTGCAGTAGCAACACCAGTGGGCAAACTCACACAGAGATCTATTCTCTCTCTCTCACACACACACACATTATATCTATCTATATATCTATATATCCTTCTATATATATAGAAAGATATATAGAAGGAAGACGCACAACTGACAGAGTGTTGTGCATTACCTCTCCACAGTAGAGTGAGGAGACGGAGAAGGAGAAGGAGAAAAGGCAAATAAAAAAAGTAGGAGGCAAAAGTAAGTACGAAAGTAAAGAAGACAAAAAAAAAAGAGAACGAACGAAAGAAAGAAAGGACAAAAAAAAAGTAACAAAAGTTATCTTAGTGTTTATAGTAAAAAAAATGAACTCATACGACATTCTTGGATGGAGCTTTATTGAAGAGGCAGTTATTCGAGATCGGGGATATGATGAGGAAAGAGATTTGGCCGCCATTTTAAAATCGTACTTCATTCGACGCGGTTTTGTGGATTCCCTTATGGCATTAAATGATGAACTCGTGGAGTTGGAGGGAAATAATAATGTGAGAAAATATTGTGTAAAGAAAAAGAAAGCAAATGGTGGAATGCCTATGAAAAAGGATGAATCCCCCATGTGGAATAATGAAAGGAGTGATGATAACAGTGTTAATACTGTTGTAGAGTCTATGAAAAAACGTAAACAAATTCAATTATTATGCTTAAATGAACAATATGAAGAGGCTGCGGAACTTCTACCACATGGAAGTGTCTTTAAAGTAAAATTACTTGCTATGGAGGCTATGAAAATTGCAAGATCTAATCAATCTGCGGCTCTTTTTTTTCTCTGTGTAAAGGTAAGTCCTCTGGTGGTGGAGACAACAGATGCGACGATGGCTCATCACATTTTTGTAAACTCTTTAGCGGCCGTCTCGAGTGGAGTGAAGGCGGCGGAGTTGTCGATCCCCACACCGCGGACAATTGCCCGTGAGGTGAATGAATCTCTTCTCGAGAAGAGTGAGTCCAACGCGTTGGATATTCTTCTCTCGTGGTCGGATTGGCAGGTGCTGGTGAGGAAAATAAGGGAGGGGGAACAGAAGAAGGTGAACTTTCCCTTCACAATGAAGGTAGATAAAGTGTAAAGGGGTGGGGGGGGGGAGGTTTTTTTTATCTTTACACCTTGTTATTATCTATCTACCTTTAATTCCCTTTTTTTTCTCTTTTTATTATTATTATTATTATTATTGCTCTTACTTCTAAATTACACTCCCTCCTTACGCTCATTTTTTTTTTTTTTTTGTGTTTATAGTTCAGTAGTTCCCCCCTTTCTTACTCACTCTCTCTCTCTCTTTTCTGTTTATTTGTAAGGCAAAAAAAAGGCTGTGTTAGTTAAGCACGCCAAATGGAACTTTATTATTCCATTTTTAGTATTTATCACTCTCTTGTATATCTTATCTGTAATATGTGTTTCTTATGTATCTTTATTTCTTCTTTTCTTTTTCTGTTTCTTTTCCATTTCTCTTTATTAGCGAAAGAAGAAATAAAGTAATAAAAAGAGAAAAAGAAAAGTATGTTCCTACTTTTTTTCTGTGTGTATTCCCATCGTTGCATGCAAGTACGCTGAATCAGGTTATTCCAGAAACAAGAGAAGAAGAGAAGAGAAAAGATATATTCAAGGTATATGTTCATATGTATACCAAAGAAAAAAAGAAAAGAAAAACAACAAACTCTACGGACTGTTTTCGCCGAGAGACGAACTAATCATTACCGTGACGTCCCTCGTATAGAACAGTCCTAGATTCACAGTGTGGGTTACTGCGGGTAGTTTAATTATACTGCCATTGCGGGCCTCTTAGTGACTATATATATATATATATATATATATTTGTTGTTCTTATTTCTCATTATTGCATTCATATATATATTTATATATTTACGTGTATGTGCTTGATGACATTTTTTAGAATGAAATTAAAGTGTAAAAGACCATTCTTCTTTTTTTTTTTCTATTCTTATGTTTTCTTTTTTCTTTTCTTTTTTTTTTCTTTTGTTTTAGTGGTTTCGTAAATAAGGTAAAACAGAACAAACAAAAAAGAAAAAAAAAAGAGGAGAATGGCTGTTGTATATGTATGCAGACATGGTCAAGATGAAGACAATCTTATGGGAATTTTAAACGGCCGTCGTGATCGCCCGCTCACGGGATTAGGCCGAGAACAGGCAACTGTCGTGGGAGATCGTCTAAGGCGCAGCGGTGTTGTTTATCATGCGATCCTCACATCTCCACTTCGTCGTGCGGAGGAAACCGCACGTATTATTGGATCCGCTCTTGGAGTTCCCGTTACTCAAGAGGAGGAACTGGTGGAACGTGATTTTGGTATATTAACTGGAAAACCCATTTCAGAGATTAAAACGTATGCGGGAGATAATGTTTTTCAAGGGGATAAAGTACTTTATTTTCTTTCGGTTAAAGATGCAGAAACATTTGAGGATTGTTATAAAAGAGCGGCGAGTGTCCTGCAAAGAGTAGATGCGGCGTTTGCAGGGAAAAATGTACTTTTAGTGTGTCATGGGGATATTGGTAAAATGCTGCAGGCTGTGCGTAAAAACATTTCTTGGGAGGAAGGTCTTCGGATTCCATATTTTGCCAATACGGAAGTAGTAAAACTATAAGGATGAAAGAAATGAAGGAAATATGAGAAAGAGAGATGGAGAGAGTGAGTGAAAGGGAGTGATAGTGTGTGTGTATGTATGCTTGTGTAGATAAACTCTCTCTCTCTCTCTCTTCTCTCTCTTGTTTTATTTCCTTTGTTATTGTTATTCTTTCTAACTCTTCGTTCCATGTTGATATTCCTGTTTGTTTCGTGTTTGTGTGTTTTTTGTGTGTCGTTGTTCTTGTTGCGCATATTTACTTTTTCTTGTTGTTACATTTACCACATTTGTGATTGTGAGTTATAAAAAAGTATCTCCTTCTGTTTTTTTTTTATTTTATTTTGTTTTTATTATTTTCTTTCCTTCTGTTGTTGTTCCTGTGTGGTATTATACTTCTCTTCCATTTATTTATTTCTCTCTATTTCTTTCAGTCTCTCTCTCTCTCTCTCTCTCTCTGTGTGTGAAGAGTTGTACGTGTGGGATGCCGGCCAAACGATGGGGTCGTCCCCCAACGATGAGTGCAACAGAGGCACACAAGGAACAATTAAAACGATACATTAAGAATGAAATAGAAAATAACAATTTGCTTGGCCTGCTGGGAGAGGAATTAGATAACATGGTAGAGATGTTAACAACATGTAACTCTAGGCGAGAAGTGTATGATTGGTGTCAGACACTCATGGTGGGGGAGACATTAGCAGCTGAAGTGATACGCAGACGTGATGATAATGGACCTCCATTTGAAGATACACCAGGAACTAAAAAACGAGGAGCAACCGCAGGAAATAGTAATAGTGCTGCTAATACGAATAATAATAATAATAATAGTGGTGGACGTCAATTAAGTACGGCCTCTCGACGAGGAGGAAGAAAGAAGGATGTGTCTAAGAATGGTGGTAGTGCCACAGCAGTAGCAGCAACGGCAAAGTTAAAACCAGGATTTTGTGAATGTGGTTGTTTTGCAACGGAACATAATCTTCGAGGGAACTGTGCGAACTGCGGTCGTATTATTTGTGAACAGGAATCTGATGAAATGTGTTATCATTGTGGGTTAGATCCTTATATTTGTGTAGCGTATGAAATTAAAGTACAAGATGGTCTTTTAACAGCAGCGGCCATAGAAAAAGATAGAGAAAGTTATGAAAAAGCTATATCGAAACGAGATGAACTTTTACAATATGCTGAGACACGTGCCAAACGTACTAAAGTCATTGATGATCAAACCGCAGTGTTTCTTTCTCCACAACATGCATGGATGTCTCCACAAGAACGTGAAAAGGCAGTAAAAGATGAGGCTCTCGCTGAAAAACGTCGAAAGGTGGCGGCTATGCATCGCACAACAGGAGCCTATACCGTACATTTGGATATTATGAATCAAAATGCGGCATTAACATGTCAAGAAATAATACCAGCACCTCACAGTGATACCTCCTCTAGTTCATCAGAGAGTGAATTAGGAGATGGAATAGATGATAAAGAAGTTGAAATTGAAGAGGAAGAAGAAGTTGTGCGGGCGGTACCATTACCTTCTTTAATGCAAAAAATATGGTATAGTTTAGATGGTTCTGTGGAACAATTGTCTACATCAGGGACTATTGCAGTTTCTTCGGATAAGTATAGAAATGCGGCTAATGATGTTGGTGGGGCGGATCATTCCGTGAAAAAACCGGAGGTGCATCGAGTTGTGGAGATCTCCCGTCGTGTTCAGCAGGATTATTATGAAGATGACGCTCGTGCCTTTTTAGATGCCCAAAAAATGCTGCAAGGGGAACAAGTCCATCAGAGAGAAGATGGCCTAAATATAGCATCTGAAGAAGAGAAGGAAGAAGAAGAAGATGTAGACAATGTCCGTGAGGAAGTTAAAGAAAAGAAGGAGAATACAGTAGTGAAAGCTACTGAGGTAAAAGGTAATAGTAGTAATAGTAGTAGTATTACTGCATTCATACCTACCCCAATTATGCGAATGAATGATAATGGTATTTGTCTCTCTATGCATCAACCATGGGCAGGATTACTTGTGGCGGGTATAAAAATGCATGAGGGACGTGTGTGGAGTACAAACTATCGTGGCCGTCTGTGGATTCATGCCGCATCTGCACAGCCACATGATATCAAAGAAGTGGAAGAACATTACGCAAAGTTTCGTCCTCCTACAGTGGAGTTTCCCACACACTATCCTACCGGTGTATTGTTGGGTTATGTATACATTGTAGACTGTATGGACCAGGAAAAATACCGACAAACGTTTCCAGAGAATGAACGACAGGAAGAGAATTCACCTTTTTTGTTTATTTGTGTAGAGGCTAAAACACTGCCATTTCCACTTCCTATGGTAGGAAACCATAAACTGTTTAAATTGGATCACAAGGTACATACTGCTGCGCGTAAACAATTGTTGGAGATTTAGTAAAGGTTGCTCATTGCGTTTTGACTCTCTTTTTCTTTTTTTTTTTACTGTTCTTTTTTATTTTTATTTATTATTAGTATTATTTATTCTTGATATGAAGTTCAAACATACTGAACAGGACTGAACCGTGTTATCGATTTCTCTTTTCTTCCACATGATATCCTTTCTTTTTCCCCCTTTTTTTCTTTTTTTTTTTTTACGCTATTTTTAAAATAATAATAATAATTATAATTGTTATTATTTTTATTTTCTTTCTTGCATTTCTTGCTGCTCCGACTTGTTGGGTGCTGTGTCATTTCTTTCGTTTTATTCTGTACACGTGCTCTCATGTTTCCTATGGAAGAAGTGCCAAGAAAAAGAAAAAAAGAGAATAGAGAAGAGATTGAGGGAGGGAAAAAGTAAAAAAAAAAAAAAAGACTGAAAAAAAAGAAAGAGTGAAAGAGAAGAGGGTGTTTGTGATTTGAGTGAGGGTCTCCGTGTTTTTTTTTTTACTTGTAAAATTAAGAGAGAAGAAGTGAAAAACTCGGAAGGGTTTCTGTGATTTTTTTTTTGTGTTTTTTTGGATTCCTTCTTCTCCTCTCTGCTGAGAAGAGAACTTTGTGAGAGAACAGAGTAATGGGTAAGCGTGAGCGGGAGGGGAGTGGGGGCAGCACGAGCTCCACTGATTCGCTTTTCTCTTCTTCTAGCAATCATAAGAGTGAGGCAAAAAAGCAACGAAGTTCTACGAAGCAAAAAAAGCAAAACACCACAAAAAAAGATAAAAAGGAAAGGAATAGCACTAGTAGAAGTAGGAGTAGTTCTCTTAGTAGTAGAAGCAGTGACATCAGTAGTAGCAGTAGCAGCAGTAGCAGCAGCAGCAACAGCATTGATATTCACAGTTCTAAGAAGGATATCAAGAACAACATTCATAAAAATAGTGAACTAGGATCCGGTTCGACCAAATATAATGTTGTGAACTCTAAAAGTAAAGCTCTGTCAGGTAGTTCTGACAAGGAGCTGAAAGCAGGTGATGACACTTATCATACTTCTCTCTCTGATAATGAGTATGGCAATTTCCACGACACGAATAATAGTAATAATAATAATAACATTAATAATAATAATATTAATAATGAGGAATTCTCAGAACCACGAGGTCCTGCTGTTCGTGTAGATGAAAATGTTATCTTCAGTGATAGTGACTCCAGTCACGATCCATTTGGTGGAGACTCCTCCGCCTCCAGTGCGGATGAAGCCGATGGCATTGATGATGCCAAACTCACAGATATTCGTGAGCGATTACTCACACATGCACAAATCACCGCCGCCGGGCGAAGACCAACCATCACCACCGCAACGACTACCAACACAAGCGGAAAGAACTCAACAACGAATGGACTGCAGGAACTTCGAGAGGCATTACTGCAGCCCGTCACATCCACAGCATTGACTGTCGTAAATGCCACGGATGAATCTCATGATCTCATGAATGCCGTTGTGACGGCGAAGTTGCCGCCCCCTCCGCCCGAAGATGCGAAGCGGCTGCGTAAATTAAAATACGTTGACCACGCGAGTGTGGAATATCCGCCCATTCGTCGCGACTTTTACGTCACTCCACCAGATGTGAAGGGACTCACCGCAGAGGAGATGAAACAATTATTGAAGGAATTGGATGGGGCAAAGGTGCGGGGACGTAATCCACCGCGGCCTATGCGCAGTTGGAATGGATCTGGATTACCAGACTCTGTACTGGATGTGCTCACACGTGAAGGGTTTCAACAACCTTTTGCTGTTCAATCTTTAGGAGCTCCGGCTCTCATGAGTGGACGAGATCTTCTCGTTACCGCAAAAACAGGTTCAGGAAAAACACTAGCCTATTTATTACCTCTTATTCGACACTGTATTGGACAAGAATCATGTAAAAAAGGTGAAGGACCTATTGGACTTATTCTTGTTCCTACACATGAATTGGCTGCACAAATTGTACAAGTGGCAGAAAAATTATGTAAAGCTGCTCAACTTAGGTTAGTTTCTTCTTATGGATTAACACCACTTGCAGATAATATTAAACAATGTAGAGCAGGATGTGAAGTAATGGTTGCTACTCCAGGTCGACTTCTTGATCTTCTTACTATCAATGATGGTTCTGTACTTTCGCTAAAATGTGTATCATTTGTTGTAGTAGATGAGGCAGATCGTATGTTTGATAGTGGTTTTATGGAACATGTAGAGGCTTTTTTGAAAAATATTCGACCAGATCGACAAACTGCATTAATTAGTGCAACTATGCCAAAAGAATTAAAAAAAGTTATTATGCATCATTTAAAAGATCCTGTAGAAATTACAGTAGGAGGTAAACCAACACCTGCTTCAAATGTGGAACAACGCTTCTTTTTCTTTGATGAAGAAGTTTATGAAGTAGAAGAAACGAATCGTACAGAAGATAAAAAATTTTTAAAATTACTTCAAATTCTTGGTGATGAGGGTGGTCAAGGGGAACATCTTGTTATTATATTTACGCAAAGAAAAGATGAATGTGATGAATTATTTGCCCGTCTTTCTGCTTGTGGATATCAAAATCGCCTTGCTGTTCTTTACAGTGGTATGGATCCATTAGATCGTGAATTTGCTTTAGAGTATTTTGCACCAGGTAATCAATTTATTCTTATTGCAACTGGTGTAGCTGAGCGTGGACTTGATATTCCTTATTTAGAACTTGTTATTAATTATACACTTCCAGATCATTATGAAGCCTATGTACATCGCATTGGTCGAACAGGTCGTGCTGGAAAAAAAGGAAAAGCTGTAAGTTTTTTTACACGTGAAAAGGATGATGATATCGCAGCAGACCTTTGTGAAGGTCTTGAACGGGCACAACAACAAGTACCAGAGGAATTATATGAACGTGCCGCTAAAATGCGGGAAAAACGTAAAGAAGGTGTTGCTCAACATAATACTGGTTTTTACCGTGGTTATCGTAAAGCCAAGAAACTTCGCTTCACAGATCGTGATCAGAAAGAACAATTTAAAGCCGCCGCCAGGGCCGCAGGATTGGAAGAATATCTCTCTGCAAGTTCATGCTCAGACTCGGATCTCTCTGATGAGGACCAAAATGATGGTGAGGATGATAATGATGGAAATAACATTGAAATTGTTTCCGTACAGGAAGATGGGACTCGCAGAGGAGGTGAAACCTCAACCGCACTCACACTACACAAAGCCGGCAGTGGAATGGCTCTCACAACACAACAACAACAAGATCGGGTGGCATTGGCACTCGCATATGCTCGTAAAACAACAGAAGCTATTGTGGATCCCACCGCAACAGGTGTACGATTTGAGGCGGAGTATCCTATTAATGATTTACCAGAACTTGTGCGTCTGCGAATGCAAAGTGCAGCTCTCCTACGATCTATTGCAGAAGAAACTAGTACCACCATTATCCGCAAAGGTGTGTATTATGATCGGAAATTTAAACATTCACACCGACTTCGCGATGGGGTACGGCCGTTGTATCTTCTTCTTATTGGCAAGACCGCAGAGGCTGTACGAGATGCGGTGAAGAAGCTTAATGACGCCAAGGCAGAGGCACAGAGTCGCATTCAGAAAAAGACTTCAGCCCTCGGTGCCCAAATCTAATTTACAGAAAGAGGAATTAGAATTTAAGAAGAAAAAAAAGAAAAAGAAAAGACAAAAATGAAGCATCTATTGGGAATCAAGATCGAGAAAAAGGAGAGAGAGAAAGAAAGAAAGAAAGAAAGAAAAAAAAAAAGAACGAAAAGAGAAAAATAATTATTGATGATCTCTTTCATTTGTTAATTTGTGGTGTTTGATTTTGATTATGAATGACGTTTTTTTTTTTCTTCTTTTTTTTTCTGTTTTTCGTTTTGACTTGAAGTGTTGGTATGTCTTGAGATACGTATATATATATATATATATATATATATATATAAATAAATATATATGTTGTGATTTTTGTTTTGTTTCTTTTGGAAAACAAATTTAAAGGAGAGAAGAACCTCTGCGTTCTTCTGCTTCTTTCATACAATTTCTTCTTCCTTCACCTATTCGTACCTTTTTTTTTCCTTTTTTTTTTTCTCTCTCTCTCTCTCTCTCTTTGGTAATTTAATTCTAAGCCTGTGTAAAAATATATACTCTTCTGTGTACAGACATATTACACAGCTTATATATATATATATTCTTTGTTTTGAGTGAATATTGTGTGGTAAAGGGGATTTATTAAATTGAAGGATATCAGGGAGACCTCCTTGACTTCCTCTTTCATCTCCTCCTTTACCCCTTCTAACAAAAAGGAAAAAAAAAGGAGAAAAATAGTAAGGAATAAAAGAATTAAGTACGAGTAAAAAGGAGGAAAATAAAACAGGAAATACACCCTTTCTCTATTTTTCTGTGATTGAGTGTGTATCTCTCTCTTTGTGTGTTGTTTTCTTCTAGTTATATATATATATATATATATATATATATTCGTATTATTGATTCTGATATTTTATAGTTTTATTTTTATTTTTGTAGCGTTCAATGGCAGAGGCAACAAAGGTAGCAGGGCAGATTCTCTTCCAGAACTCCCTTGCGGAGGTTGTGCGCAAACTCCGTTCCACTTCAAAGAGTGAGGCAGAAGTTCTCGAGCAATGTATTGCAGATACAAAGAAAGAAATCACCTCCACTGTACAGAGTGTGAAGGTGACGGCGGTGTTAAAGGCGGTATATTTCTCAATGTTGGGTCATTCCGCCGCCTATGGGGCTTTTAACATTATTGAGGTTATGGCGGATAGAGTTTTTAATAATAAACGTATTGGATATATGGCGGCTTGTCTCACCTTTACACCAAAGACAGATGTATTGCCACTTTTGACGGCTCTATTAAAACGAGATCTTTCTAGTGCCAATCAATATGAAGTGGGTTTTGCACTTTATTGTATTTCTTCTGTTTGTACTTTAGATTTGGCACGAGATCTCGTTGTGGATGTAGTGAATTTACTTAATCATCCACGTAATTATGTTCGAAAAAAGGCAGTATTAAGTTTATACCGTATCTTTTTTGCCTATCCAGATTCATTACGTCCTACTTATCCACGATTAAGAGAAAAACTTGATGGAAATAGTGAACGTTGCGATAATGATCCTTCTGTACGTGGTGCTGTAGTGAGTGTATTATGTGAACTTGCTCGTCGTAATCCAGCGAATTTTCTTGGACTTGCTGTACCATTCTTTTCTATGCTTTATACTGTTCATAGTAATTGGACTCTTATTAAGATTGTGAAGGTATTTGGCTATTTTGCTTCATTAGAACCACGTCTTGGAAAAAAATTAGTTGAACCTATAACCAATTTAATAGAAACCACAGGAGCAAAATCCGTTCAGTATGAATGTATTCTTGCTGTAGCTAATGGAATGAGTAAAGTTCCATCCTTAACAAAATTAGCTGCAGAAAAAATGCGGTTATTTGTAGAGGATACAGATCAAAATCTAAAATATTTAGGTTTAGATGCTATGTCACGTATGGTTCGAGATAATCCAAAATTATTAAGTGAATATCGTGATATTATTCTCGCATGTTTAGATGATATAGATTCAACCATTAGGAAAAAAACACTTGAAGTATTACGTGGACTTGTTACAAGGAAAAATATTGTTTCAACTATTAACAAAATGATGGAACGTTGTGTACGTTCTCCACCTGATGAAGATTGGTCAAATCGTGTTATTGAAACTGTTATTGAAATTGCACAAATAGATGATTACGCCCTTATTCAAGATTTTGAATGGTATACTAGTATCTTAATTGATATAAGTCTCGTAAATCTCTCTACTTATCAACATGGAGACCTGGTTCAGAGAGAACTTGTAACTGTATTAACACGAGTGAATGCTGTACGTCAATTTGGTATTAATGCATTATCTCATTTCTTTTCAAATTCCAATTTATTAAATTGCGATCCTACACGATCTACACAATGGGAAGTAATTAAAGGAGCTGCATTCCTTTGTGGGGAATACCCTTATTGGTTACGAGATAAGCGACTCACCTGTTCACAACTTCTTAGTGATCATATTGCCATTCTCCCACCAGAGGCGCAGGTGTTGTGTGTAACGGCGGTTGGAAAGATAGCGGCTTATATTCATCAACCCTCACCGCGGCATTTAACTTTAGTGAATGGAGAAGAGGAGTTCGCATTACCAGAGGACCCGGTAACAGATGAGGAAATACGTGCAGTGATTCTCCCACCCACTAGAAGCTCAGATCAAGAGCAGACACCTCCCAATGGAAAAGGGGGAGATATACACTCACATTCACATTCACATTCACGATCTCCACAAAGAACTGAAAACACACAATTCCCACATGTTGCCTTGCAACTATTTCAACACAGTATTTACCCTGATGTCCAGGAACGCGCCCAGTTGGTTTTTCATCACATTGTTGTAAACCCCGATGTGGGTCCGCGCTTCTACGCAGAGGAACTGCGGCCAGTGGCGGCCGGTGCACAAGCCGCGGTGTTGCCGCCGGACGATCTTGACATTTCAGAGCCGTTCTGCCGTCAAATGCCGGAACTTCTCCGCCTTCCCGAGACAGAGGCGTACAGCAGCAATGATGAGAATGAGAAGGAAGAAGATGAAGAGGATGACTTTGATGAAGTCATTGCCTCTGGACTCGGTGGTTTTGTCGGTGATGATGAAGTACGACGGCGGCAAAGGCAGAAGGAACAAAAACGAAAAGAACAACAACGACGTGGAGAAGTGGCCCCATTTTACATCAGCGGCGCTTCATTAACGCGAGAGGAGCCGCCAGTGGAAGTACAACTCGAGGCCATCACCGCAGCCTCACTGCAATTGCAGGATCCCACCAATTCGCCATATAATAATAATAATAATAATAATAATAATAATCAACGATCACAATCCCAACAACAACAACAACAACAGAATCTCCCACGTAAGACACAAACCATCAATCGTGATCTCTCACGGCCATCAAATTACGTGGCGCCCACACAAACACGTCGTCGGCCGGAAGAATTGATGGAAGATGAGGCAACACGACTGTTTCGCAATGTGGATGTTACGCGCGCTCTGACAGCAGATGAGCGACTCCCAGAAACGGTTCCATACGCGCAATTACTGCAGTCACGTAAAAGGGAAGAGGACAATAATAAGAACATCAACAACAAAACAGCAGCGGCAGAGGCAGCAGCGGAATTATTTGATCCTGTTACTCTTCTTGATGAACGATATTTACGTGTGATGCTTTATATGGAATCATGTCGTGTGCGAAAGGAGGGTATCTCATTAACTGTAACAGTGGAGGTTTCGAACATGGCAAGTAGCAACAGTGCATATAATGTTACACTTTGTTTTCAACCTGATGGGAAAAACTACACAGAGAACGGTATACTCCTAGAATTGATCGAACCAGAAGACACTACTACTAATACTACTACCATAACCAAACATAAGAAAGATCATAATAATGGTAATAATAATAAGGATGACAATGACGAAAAGAAGGATAAAAATAGTGATAGTTCTAAAAATGATACAGAGAAAGGGGTATTGCATATAGCGGATCGTCTAAAAGGGTCATCATCTGTGCGTAAGAAGATGAATATTAAATTTATTAGTCAACTTCCTGATTCTCTTGTGGAACCACTAGAATTTAAAATTTCATTCGTTCGTGAGAAAAAACCTGTAAATCATTCAATGTTTCTACCACTACAATATGCATACTTTGCAAAGGTACCTAAGGATGATATGAAATCGTCTGAATTCATGGAAGAAGTTCTTGAAAAGTCACTTGTAGATGCACCTGTTTTCAGTAGTTTCGTTCCTATGGACTTGTCTCGTGTGCAATTAGTATTACCAATGTTACTTTCAAAATTGAGACTTCGAAATATTGACGTTTTCAGAGATATCACATCATTTAGAGGTGTACTTCATGTTCGCAAGTCATCCTCCTCATCGACAGCAACCTCTAAAGCTCACGTTGCGGTATTGCTGCAGGAAGATACTCTTGATGGAGAGAAGGGATTGACCATTGCAGCCAAGTCACACCAGAGCTGTTTGACAGAATTACTATTGCAAGATATTGCTACCTTGTTGCTGCAGTAGGTATCATAGCGAGAAGGAAGAGAAGGAAGAGAGAAAGAGAGAAATAAAGAATGTGTGTTTGTGTGTTTGAATCTCATCTCACCAAAGATACATTCCATTCTTTAATGGTTTTGTTTGGTACACGTGAAGGATAGAAGGGGAGGTGGGTGAAATAATGATGATGATGATGAACCAAAAAAAAAAAAAAAAATGACCATTCTTTACACCACACTATTCTTTCTGTTTTTTCCCCCTCTTTTTTTAAATTATAACGATTATGATGATAGTGATTTATTATTATTATTATTATTATTATTATTATTATTATTATTATTATTATTATTATTATTATTATTATTATTATTATTATTATTATTATTTAGTGTGAATTTGTGGTTGACAGTTGTGCTTCTGTTTATTTGGATGTCCCTAACGATACTTTTCTTCTTGTATATGCTTATTGCTTCTGTTGGTGTTAGTGATAACATCGCCCTAAATATTCATCCTTGTTGTTGACTCCCTTGTGTGTGTTTTTTTTTTTTTTCTTTTCTCTGTTTTCCTTTTCTTCTTACATTTACTCTATTTTCTTTTCTTTTCTTTTCTTCTTTTAATTGTTTTCATTATAATACTACTGAAATACAGCATGTAGTTAGACAGCGAAATTGGGAGAACCACACGTGTCTTCCCATCCAGACAAAGAAGAAGAAGCAGCAACAACAAGGAGAGCAGAAGTTACTACTGCTCTTATTTTTGTTATTGTTTTTTTATTTATTTATTTATTTAGTTATTTATTTTTATTTTTAGTTTATATTTATTTTCCTTTGCGATAACAACCGGTACACAAAAAATCTCTTGCATAGGTGTAATCATCACTCCGAGCTACCAGCCAATTAAGCAAAGAAAAGAGAGGCAAATACACCGCGGCCTTACTGCTGTCAATATTTCATTATAGCCGTAATTATTATCATCATCGTTATCATCTATATTATTGTTATTATTATTATTATTACTATTACTATTATTATTATTATTAATATTGTTATTACCATCATAACTTTTGCTGTTTTTATTTTATTTTCATACGGCCTATTAATAGGACACAATGGAGTCACACCACAGAAACTCATCAACTGGACTGCCACCACCACCAACCTTCGCACGGGGCGTGGGTCATTCAGGCAGCATTCGTGGCTGTACAAAACGCCGTCATCATCATTTTTCTGATAAAAACGTTGTGGATCTTCGTCGCCTGAATATTGACAACTCCAACCATACTACTGCCACTAATAACAATAATAACAATGGTAATTGTTATAATGGTAATGATAGCAGCAATAATAACAACAATAATAATAATAATAACAGCAGTACCAACAGCAGCAGTAGCCGAGGTAGTGGACATCGTTTGATGCACAGCTCCTCCTCAAACGGGAAGCACCGAAAACAACAGCAGAGTCCTCAGTCTAGGTTATCACTCATTTCACCTTGTCGTGGTCATGGTCCACTTCACTGTTCCACGTCTGGGGGTTATGAGCCACCAACAAAGATACTTGATTTCCTTTATCTAGGTGGTGTTCGTGATGCCACTAATGCAGAGTTTCTGCGCCGTGAAGGCATTACGACTATTCTCAATATCTCACGTGAAGAATATTGGTCTGTAGACAGAAGTATTGTAGTGTATCCTTTTGCGGTAGATGATACGACGGATGCCAACATTCAGCAGTTCTTCCGTCCTACCTTTACCTTGCTGGAAGCTGCACGCCGCGCATACTATGAAAGTAAACTACGCCATACTACTACTACTACTACTACTGATACTGCTACTAATGCTAATACGACTGGAACTAGTACGACTTCTCCGCCTGGTGCTAGTCCCACTCGTAGTTCTACACATGCTCCGCGTGTGCTGGTGCACTGCCAGCGTGGTCGCAGTCGTTCAGCCACCATCGTGCTTGCGTACCTCATCCGCCGCAATGGCTGGACGGTCGCGGAGGCGCTGCGGTATGTCAGTCGCCGTCGTCCACGCGTGGAGCCGAATTTAGGCTTTATTGATGCGTTACTGGCGTGGCAGGAGTCGATGGACACGGCGGCGCGTACACGTCGTTGTGGTTCGTTGTGTCTTGCGGTGCGTAATCTCGCCGGTGATACCCCCACGTCTGTTGTGCACAAATTCTTTGAGGACTACGTTGGGTGTGTGCGGGAGGTGATGATGCACATTCGCCCACCCTCGCATGCTGAGAAGCCCCACAGTGAGGAAGAAGAACAGGAAGAGGAAGAAGAAGAGGAAATGGTGGATATTCACAATGCAGACACTCCAACACTTGTACCCCAACCACCACCACCACCACCGCCAACAACAACAACAACAACAGCAACACTACTCTCAACAGCAACAACAACTACTACAACTACTACTATAAGTATGAATGGTGCTAGTGATCTTAAACCAATGACGGCCACCAGCAGCAGAAGTAATAGTAGTAAAGGTGATGGAGATAATACATTATGTCTGGTCTTCTTTGCCGCCGCGGAGAGTGTGAGGATGGCGAAGAAGTTATATGTGGAGAGACCAGAACTATTTGAGGCTCTCGGTGTAGTGGCTGGAAAGAAACTAAGACTTACTATTCCCACTAAACTATTGCGGTTTCCAAAGGAAAGTTCATCATCCAATACTGCTCAAACAAGTGATACGGAAGCAGCCACAGTATCTGATACACCAGAGGAGGCAGAGGCGGCGGTAACAACAACAACAACAACAGGAGTCTCTCGTAAACTTGATATGAAAGAGAGTTTATTTAATGATGCTGTAGAAGAGGAAGAGGAAGAAGCGGGGTGAGATCTCAAAGCAGAGTGAATGCGCAGTCAATAACAATGAAAAAAAGAAAAAAAAACATGAGGATCAAGAAGAAACGAGAGAAGCAAATGAAACAATAATAAATAATAAGAAAAAGAAAAAAAAAAGCATGAGTGGAAAATAAGAAAATAAAAAAAAAACGAAAAGTAAAGAAGAGGCATACGGTATGATTTTTATTAAAATGTATTAGAAGTGGATTTCCTTGGGCACCCTTTTTTATTTATTTATTTATTTTTGTTTTTGTACATCTCTCTGATATATGCGTTATGTGTATATATGTACATGACCATACACCAATGGGGCCCTATAATAACAAGAAAGAAAGAAATAAATAAAAAGAAAAGGACATGCAACCGAAAAGAATACCTGAGGGTTTTCTGGGTGGGGGTTAAGAAGAAGAGGGGGAAAAAAAAATATATGAAGAAAGACTCAAATCTGATGCGAACAAAGAAGGTGTAAAAAAAAAAAAAAAAAAAAAAAAAAAAAAAAAAAAAAAAAAAAAAAAAAAAAATGAAATAAAGAAAAAAGAAAACAACAACAACAACGATGGAACAAGGAAAAAAAAATTTATTAAAAAAAAAAAGAAAAAAAAAAGGCCAAAGGAGACATACTAATAAGTGTTCATCAACCCTAACGACGAGTTAGAAAGATGAAACGGCGGTGTCCATAAAGAATCGGTCGTTTTTAAACTTTTTTTTTTTTCTTTTCTCTGTTTACCTTCATTATAAATATGAATTTATGTGCATGTGCGAATTGTTTACGTTGTGTGGTTGATTTGTGTTTGTGTTTTTTTTTTTTTTTTTACTTTTGTTTGTTTGGTCCCTCCTTTTTTTTTTTCGTTTTTCATTTTTATTCACACGCCTTTCTTGTTCTTGCGTTTTAAACAGTCTTTTTTCTTTTTTTTTCTTTTTTATTACTTTGTGTTGCTTTGACCTTTTTCTTTTTTTTTTTGTTAGAAATGTCCGTTTTTCTCGTCCTGCTTTTTTTTTCTTTTTTTTTTTGTTTAATCCTTCTGTTTTCTCTCTGTTTCTTTTTTATTCTCCTCTCTCTCTTTTGACTTTATTGCCTCTGTTTTTTTTTTTTTTTTCGTCTCTCTATCTTTTTCTTTTTTTTGTCTTTTTTCTTTTGTTTGTTTGTTTGTTTTTCTTTTCTGTCGCAGTTATTGTTTTTCAGCTGTTCTGGCAGCTTGTTCTCTTTCTGCCATTGTTGATTGTAATAGTGATGGACTCCATTTTATTATATTGTGTGTGTCTCTCTCGTTGTTTGTTTATTTAAAAAGAAGAATTTTTTTTTCTCTTTATTGCTTGTGTGTATTCTAAGCAACCTCGAGAATGAGGGGGAGTTCAAGGGGGATAAGAAAGGAAAAATAAAAAAAAAAAAAAATCAGGAAAAAGAAAAACAAATAACGTTCTTGTGCATTTTGTTTGGGTTATTGTTGTTATTCTCATTCATTTTCGCTATATTTTTCTTTTCTATTTTTCTCTTACTTTCCACTACTATCATTCCCTCTGTTGAGTTATATATATATATATATGAGTGTGTGTGTGTGTGTGTGTGTATATGTACATCTATTATTTATCTATCCAGATACCCTCCTGTATATGTGTCTCTATGCATGGTAATGGAAATATGTATATAGTTCTGCTTTTGTGTGTATTTACGTGTGCCTATGATTCCACAAGCAGAAGTAGTAGCAATAAAGAGAGAGAGAGAAAAAAAAAAAAGAAAAAAAATTACAATAAAGAGGGACGGTAGTGCTAACGATGATGACAGACCTACTTGAGAATTTATATAATCAAATATTTCATTTTATTTCATTTTTTTTTTTTTTGTGTGTATCCCATGTTGTACCCGTTATACAGAAGAGGCAAATAAGAGAAAAAAAAAGAAAAAAGTAAAAAAAAAACTTCATAAAAGGGAAAGAATGGAAAAGAAAAAAAGAGAATAAGGAAAAAAAAGAAAGAAAAGGATGATGATTATATACACTTATGAGGGGTTGGAAAGGAAAATAAAATAAAAAATATATACAAGGGACAGCATGTAAGCATGCAAATAGGAAATGGGAAAAAAAGAAGGGTAAAGTGATGAAAACGATTAGATGAAGTGAAGAAAAAATATATATATATATATATATATATATGAAGAGATTGCAAACAAGATTTAGTAATGGGATAAATACAAGAGAAAAGAAGAAAAAAAGAGAAAAATCCCATAAAATGGAAAGGGATAAAAAAATGATAAGAACAATTAAATGTGAAAAAAAGGAAGATATTGGAAAAAAGAAAATAGTAGATAGAGTATAGGAATGGTTAAAGAAAAGGGATGGGAAGGCAAGAGAAAAGCTTGAAAAAAGATTAGGAGGGAAATTCCTTTTTTTTTTGTTAAATGAAAGCGAAGAAAAAAATTAAAAAAAAGTGTAATATATATATATATATACGCCTTTCATCTTGCTCACAACTCCTCTTAACACTTATTTGATGTATAAAGGTTTTTGTGTTATCACCATTTTCCCTTTATACCTAATGTACGCATATAATATAATATATATGTGTGTTTGCAGTTATCTTCTTTCGTTCGCATTAATAGGCTTATTGCAACTGTCAAGTTTTTTTTTTCTCTACATCCATAACAAAAAAAAAAATATTAATACAATATATATATATTTGTTTCCTTTTTTCATTATTCTTTTTTTCTTTTATTGCTTTCATTTTCCCTCACCCTCTTTCTCCCTCTCTTCACTATATATATATATCTCTCTCTCTGTCTCACTTTTTTATTCATTATTCATTTCACTTACGCACTGACTTCATGTCCCACAATCAAAGTTGCATCATTGGGAATATCACAGAGTTGTTGGGGTCTGTGGGTGTAAATATTCGGACGAGAAATGCAAGAGGCGGTCTACGCTGCGCAGATCACACCGTCCTCTGTGTGTAGTTATCCCACCTACACACCGCCCCCACCTCTGCCTAAGAAGAAAGAAGAACGCTCGCCAATTCACAATCAATCGCCTACCAGACGACGTACATTCCCTGAAGAATGTAATGATATCTTACGGGTCATTCATGAGAGTTCCACTCGTTCTTCTACTTCTTCTACTTCTTCTTTAGATCCCACTGTAGCGACGGCCGCTGCTGCTGCTGGTGCTGCTGGTGTGAACTCTTCTTCTTCCTTCCTTCATGGCCATAAGAGTAATGGCATTGCTGGCTTTAGAATGCCCAGCACAACGCACGAGAAGTACCGCGCCATTCTCAACGAAGTCGAGCACCTCAATCGTCTGCTGGAAGTGACGGTGGAGGACCGCGAGGATGTCGAGGCGGAGTTGCGGGGGAAATTACGGCAGGCGCAGACGGACCTGCGGGATCGGGACGCGGCTCTCCTGCAGAAGGACAGTGAGTTGCTGCACCTCCGCGGGGCAGTGGAGGGACTCACAATGAAGTTAGAGGCTTGTAAACATCACACACACCATGAGGAGAATCCCAACACACAGGGGAAGAGAATTATAAATAATAACAACAATAATAACGAAAACAACAACAACAACAAGAGGAAAAAGGATAACTATATTTTTAACGGTAGTGGAGGAAGTAGTAGCAGTAGTACGAAAAGTAAAAGAACAGGTGAATGGGATGATGCTAGAAGGAACTCCAATATTCATTCAGAGGTTATCAATGCTAGTGAAAAGATGGGTAGAAGCAGTAGGAGTAATAGTAACAGTGTGGAAGGGACGGCGGCTGATATGGTTACTTACTCTAGTAGTAATAATCATAATTATCATTATAATAATGATTCTAATAATAATACTACGTTTACTAGACTCGCACAAAGTGCAATTAAGTGGGTAAAATTTCTCTTGGGGAGGTATTTCTCCAGTTCATCTACTGAAAATAATGAGAAGTTTTCTAATCTTCTTAACATTCTAAATGAATTACAAGAGTATAGTACAAAGATGGATGTGGATGCCTCACTAGTGCGGTCATTGTGTACAAAGGTATCTAATTCTCTTGTGGAAGTAGTGAAAGTATCGGAATCTAAAAATCAAACTAGAGATCATGAAAGAGTCTCTAGTGGAGTATTACAGACTGTATCTGATCGAGAAGGATCACTTATGCAAATTATATCAGATCTTGAAAAAGAACGAGATAAACTTAAGCATCATGTTAGTGTAGTTGCTGGAGAAAATGTACAGTTACTTCATCAAATAAAATCATTAGAAAATGGTTCCCTACAAGGTGTGGCATTACCAGCACGAATGGATCGTTTAGAGGTACAGAATGCGATGTTAATGGCTGAGCGTGATCGACAATCCGCTTTTATAGATGAACTCAAACAACAATTACAGCGGGCAAAATTAGAACGAATGTTATTACAGGAGGAATTGAGAAGGAAAACATCACATTAACAAAAATGAAGGGCGTTATGATTGAATCTTTGTTAATCTTATGATGTGCGTAGAGGTGAGAGTAATGATGAAAGTGAAGAAAGGGCATGTTAATTATATATATATGCTGGTTTTGTATATTGGTTATTATTATTATTATTATTATTATTGGTCTTCATCAATTGCTGTTTCTCCCTCTATTTCCTAGTTAGTCTACCTTGTTTTTTCTTTATTATTTCGGTTTGGTTTTTCGCTTGATTGATATCGTGTGAGATTTCAAAAGAAAAAAAAAAGAATAATAACACGATATACACGTGTACCTCAAGAGGGATTTTTTATAGATCCTCCAATGTTATACTATTATTACTATTAATACGACTGGTTTTTTTTCCTTTTCTCCTTTTTTTGTTATTCTTTTGGTTATTATAATTTTTAACATTTCTGTCTTTTCTTCCTTATCTCTTTCATATTTAAACGGATAACATCTCCATCAACACAAGTAACGAGAAGGGAAAAGAAAAGAAAAAAAGTGTAGATATAACTATATATATATATATATATATATATATATATAATGTTGCGTAGAGTTAATCTTCGTCTAGGGAGACGATTTCAATATAATACCAAATATCCCTCACTCGTCTCATATAATAAACTCCCATGGGAGGTATTAAATCACGAAACCCCACAATTTCACATGCACGTCGCCCCTCACTATGAACAAATCCTCACACTCGCCGCCTCTACACAAGTTCCTCATCTTGTGAGCACTACACACATGCAAGTGCCGCCAGAACACAAATTGAGACTTCTCCCCGGATTGCTGTATATATTAAATGGAGAGATTCCACCTGTGGGTTTCACCGCCCATCGTGTGGAGGATCCAACGGCTCTTCAATACTACGGGCATCTTAATAATTCCATTGCACACATTTTGGCAGTGCGAATGTTTGTATCGGATGATCTTCGACTCTTGTGTAATAGTGTGACCTTTCGAGCTCCTCTACACTTGCCTGTTGCACCTCACGCATCTTTAGCGTCTTTAGTGGGAACAGCAGGAAATACAATCTCAACAAGAAATACGCCTGCGTCTTCTAATACAATCTTTACACTCTATCACTATACTAGACCGAATCGTCCACCGAGTGAATTACAGTTGGAGAAGTATTATATTCACAAACCACGTGCCTTTGTTTTATCAGAATTTTCAGCTTCAAATAAAACGGCATGGGAGCCAAGACTACAAGCACCAAAGCGAACAAAACGTTTAACGCCACTTCCGCCGTATAAACCTCCACAGAGTTATTTGATGGGACTTGCGGAGCGACTGGGTGTAGTGCCTGGTAGTTGTTTTGGTCGTCGTTCTCTCATGTGGGGTCACTGGTTCTAAACACTATACACGAATGGAGCCTGAAGTGATAAAGCAGAGAGTGTGTGTGTGTGTGTACGTGTATAATGAAAAGAAATATAAATATATATATATAAATATATATATATATATATATATATTGTTGTTGTTGTTGTTATTTTCCTTCTTGTTGTATAATTTTTTTTTTCTTTCCTTATTATTGTTTATTATTATTTTCTCTCTCTTTTTTTTTCTATAAATTTGTTATTGTTATTTTTCTTGTTTTTTTTTTTTTTACATGTATTTCGGATAGTACATTTCTCAGCACGTCTTGGTGCGAAATCCCAGACTTGTGCGCTTGTACACATACGTACACATTCATACACATATACATACATATACATAATAAAGTGATATATTTACAAACATAGACGAAAAGAGAAAAACAAAAAAGAAAACAAATCTACACATTTTTGTAAGTAAAGTAAAACAACAACAAAAAGAAGAAAAAAAACGATATTTAGTTCTTATCTCTTTCTTACTCAAAAGAGTAACCAATACAAGTACAGACATTATATATATATATATTAAAAAAAAAAAGAAAAACAACATTCTCACGTTAAATGCAACGTGATAGGAAGGGAGGGGCATTTACGGTGCAGTTTGCAAAGCGTTTAGATTTCCCTGTGGGTGGTTCTCACTCCACCTCCACAGCACTCGTACCGAGTGTTAATCCTGAGAGCGATTTAACCCAACAACAACAACAACAACGTTGTCAGCGATGTTGGAAGGATTTCCGGGTGAAGCCACAGACGGAAGTGTACAACTACACCTGCTGGCGATGTAGTTATCCTGTTTGCCGTGCCTGTCGAGTTCAGTGCCCAGAGGCGATGGATCTGTGGGTGTGCACCTCCTGTGTGAAGCCAATGAACTTCATGCGATTATTTGAAACCACGGCGAGTGGTGTGGGTTTACTTCTACACATCATGACATTCTGTGATCCGCGTGGGGAACGAATTATGAAGTTTCTCTTTCCAGCCGCAGCACTTCAGCATGTGGCCCGTAAAGATCCAAACACAACAACAACACCAACAAGAACAAGAACACCAAATGGACGACAGCCAAAGAAAATAAATGAAACCACACGACGACGGCAAATACTTGTAAGAGCAGACACTGTGAAATCACGTGCAGAGAGTTCTGGGGTATCGAACAGACGAATACTTGTGGATCCACTAACAACAACAACAACACCTCCTCAGCGAATGGTGCGAGCCAAGACGGCTTTTAAACGTTATTCACCACCACAACAGCAACAACAACACATACGAGAGAAGGGAAAGGAATTATTACCACAAGGAGTTCCTCGTCGTGCGAAAACACCTGAAGCAATACGTTCCTTTGCTACGCTGACACAAACAATATGTGAAGAGAAACCATTAAAGTGTAGTGATGTGTATGATTTAGCACCACCTGTACCATTTGAAGCGGCTACCACTACAACAATAGCAGGAGCAACAACAACAACAACAACGACAACGACAACACCAGTTACACCAGTTACAACAGCAGCAGCGGTTCACACAGACCCGCAAGCATTGCAAATGGTAGAAAATAACGTAGTAAAGGAAGGTGCCACTAATAAATTTTTGCGAAGTGATGTTGGTAAGAGTGATGGACTCCGCCTAGACGGACTTGGTATTAGTGATAAACAGATTTCACCAGATTCTATTGTATCGACTAATAGATCAGATAGTCCACCACCGCGATTTCCCTCCTTTTCACAATTTTTAGATGAACAAGAGGCAGCGCAACATTTGGAGTTTCATCACTTACAACAACAACAACAACTGCAACAACTGCAGTTACTACAACAACAAAAACAACAACAACAAAGTTTAAATGGTCAACCCACACCAGGGGGTAATAGTAAATCCGTCGCGGATGCGGTATTTCAATATGTTGATGTGGTAGAGTTAGGTGGTCGTGGTTCCACATGGAATTCCTCACCAAATCCCACCGCTCCAATTTCTGTTCCCACGAAAGGAATGACCACTATTTCACCTGAACCACTTAACAGAAGTCATTTGTGTCATCCAGCACCACAACTACGGGTTACACCAGTAAAAGTATCGGAGTCCATCTCTCAACGACGAACAATTGCCGTTAGTGGAAGTCGTGCTACTACTACTAGAACTACAACGACCACTGCCAGACAAAGTACTCTCTCCACACATACATCCCTTCAAAAGAGACCTGCAAGAGGTGTTGTAGATCGTAATAATGAAGTTAGTGCCCGATTACACACCTCACGTGGTCATTTAACACGACCAAGTAATCTTATGAAACCCGCATCTCCACGTCCTTTTTCTTTTTCAACTACTACTACTACTACCACCACAACTACAAGATCAGGGGCTATTGGTGGAGGATATTCAACCACTATAGATGGACGTGGTTCTACACATTCGGTTACGAATAAAATGGCTCGAGGTACTGTTGGTGAAAATAAAACGCGACGAAAAGAAATGGGAATCACAAGTCCACGTTTTGCAAGAAAACCAACCGCACGCACAGCACTAACGGACGGTATAAATGCTCCTCAAACGGCCCGTGTACCGCCAACACAAACAACCGCACGATTGGGTATTAGATCAAAGGTGACATCACCTCTTACATCACGTCCTGGTGTTTATGTTCCTCCTCCTCCATCAGCAGCAGCAGCAACAGCAAGGAAGCCAAAGACAGCAGGAGGCGTTAAATCTTCTGCACATCCTCCTTCTTCTTCTACTACTACTACTACTACTACTACTAAAGCTGCTGCTGCTGGTACTGCAGCTGCGGCATCATCAAGATTATCCCGTACAACTACACCATTAGCGCGTACAAACACTTCCACACGTGTACGAAATGGAACACCACGCGGTGCTGGAACTCGCACACCTTTACAACGCATTACATCAAGTCGTTTGCTGCCATTAGATGATGGAGCACGTCGTTATGTGCCGACAAAACCAGAAAAAATAGAAATTGAACCACAAGTGCCTCCACCTCCACCGTTGGTGGTTCACTTTACACGACAGCGAAAACAAACAGAGTCTGATGAGGGGAATGAGGCACCCGCAACAGCACGAATTGTACAGCAAAAGAATAACTTTCTCTCTCCACCAGATGAGAAAGGTACCTGCACTGCTCGATCACTTCCACCACAGACAACGATACGGAATGATTTCACCGGCTAGAGAAACTAGAACAGAAAAAAAAAAAAAAAAAGAATGATTAACATGCATAAAAAAAGAAAAAAAAAATAAAAGGGGAAAAGAAAGGAAGAAAATTTTTCTGTACTTATATACTACTTCCTGTTGTAATCCTTTGCACGTGTATACCTTTTTTTTTACTTTTTACTTTTTTATTCTTCCTTTTTTCTTTTATTATTATTATTATTATTATTATTATTATTATTACTAATGGAGCATCTTAAAAAAAACAAAAAAAAACCTTTTTTTTCTTTTTATGTGATTTTCCTTCCTCTTTTATATGTTTTTATTTTTCTTCTCTCCCCACATTTGCTCGTTATTTTCTTTTCATTTTATTCTTCTTGTACATTTGATATGTATATACTCCCTTCTGTAGAGGACTGTGTCCGCATATTGTAAAGGTGAAGGGAAATATCGTGAATTCATAGAGTGAAGGAGAAATAATAATAAAAGAAAGAAAAAACTCAGAAAAAGGAACAAAAAAAAAGTAGGACAGTAAAAGAAAAGTTTTTTTTTTTTTTTTTTTTTACCCCTCTTCTCCAATCTATCCTACCGTTATTGGTTTTCATCGTGTTGTGGTCTGTGTGGCTGCGAAACCGAGGGTTTATACATGCACGCCGCTGTCGTAACAGCTGTTGGCATCGTGGTGGATGCCGTTATCTTGGAACGCTGTATAGATGAGGATGAGTTAGTCCAAGAGGGAAAAGCCTACAAGTCTCTCTTCATGAATAGTGAAACAAGCCGCGGTTCACTCTTCACACCACGAGGATCAGATGTCGTCACTCAACAACGTTCTTCTATGCTTTCTTCCTCTAGTCTAGGTCAGGCACGTTCATCAATTCAAAGTTTTTTTTCAGCCGCTGTGCCACACTCTATTATGAGTGATAATGTACATTATGAGTGTCAAGCGATGAAACATCCACTTCCACAACGTATATTTCATCTTTTTGATGTTTTGCCCTTTGGATTAGAATCTCCATCTTCGGTATTTAGTGTGATAGGTCGTCATACGAATAGAGGTCTTGTTCTTGGTGTTACCGCTGAGGGATTATTTATTGTACGTCCATATCGTAATGGTACACTACTACATCTCCAACCAAATGGGACGAATCGAAAAACTGTAACAAAAAGTTCTTTAATTTCGATAGAGAAAATGTGTAATTCTTCTACTGTATATAATGACATAAAAGAATTTCGAGAAATTGCTAATCGTTGGATTGATGAGTCTAAAAACTTGGTAACTGGAGAGAAGGAAAAGGAAGCTTTTAGACAAGGACAAATGGAATCTTCAGATGACAAGGATAAAGAAGAAAAAGTAGATTTACTTCAGGGAATGGAACTTTGGGCATTAAAAGATTTGCAATTACCACCTCTATTGGCTTTACATGATCCTGTTCCACCTTTACGTGTGGGTTCACGTGTGTTAGCACGACGATTTGCCTGTGATCGTACATTACATTTAGCACGTGTCTGTGCTGTTCGCTATGATGTGACCTACACACTCCGCTATGAGGCGGATGGAGGAATAGATGAGAATGTACTGCACAATGATGTACACTTATTAGATGATTCAGAAGCCGAACAGTGTGGTGTACGGGATAAAGTAACAGTAGCCTTACAGAAACAATTACCAGCGGTCATTATTGAATGTCTTGGTGGTGAGGAATATCGTGTTATTCTTACACAAAACCCAAATCGAGCTCTTACGATTACACGTCGTCATATTGTCTTTATCTCACCACTTCTAAAAGAAGCACTTTATGCTGATCCGGTTATTCTCGAATGGTTTCGTGCGCTTGATCCCACCGGTTCAGGTGTAGTGCCATGGAAGGAAGTACGGCATCTCATTCTTGAATGGGAGACATATGGACAACGACTCTCATTTCAGAAACTTGGTGAGATACAACGGGATTTGTGTATACGTGTGGGGCGTATGGAACCGCAACACCTGCGAAAGGTGCCAGTGCAAGAAGAAGAAATGCTTCTTCGCTATGATGAGTTTGAATATGTAATATTACGGGCAAGGAATCTTTTATAAAGTTGCAGTGTTTATTATTTTATTTTTCCCCTCTTTTATCTTGCATTCATGTATCAATAATGTTGATTTTTTTTTTTGTTTTCTTAACTAAAAAAAAAAAAAAAATGGCGTCACTGTGTAATACAGTCAGACAAAACGAGTAGATGAAAAAGTACGAGAAACTCGTTCTATTTGTGGATGAAATTTCCTTTTTGATAGTTGTAGTTGTAAAAATAACTTATTTTCCCCTATTTTTTTTTTCTTTTCTTTTCTTGGAAAAGAGAAGGTGGTGGTGGTAAGCTACCATCTGTGGTGTAGAAATGACACCCACTATTTCTTATCAAATCGCCGAGTGGTGCACATCGCAGGAATATGAAGGCATTAGTGCACAAATGTGTGTAGTGAGTTTTGGCTTTGATGTGGAGGCCATTGCCGCGCATATTCTCCACAAAACACTCACCTCACTACCGTCTATGAACTCCTGCATTTCATGTATTGTATTGCCTGATAGTAGTAGTAGTAGCAGCAGTAATAATAATAATAATAATAATACTAACAATAACAAAAGTAATAGTAATAGTTGTAATCATAACAGAGGTGGAATGTTAACACGTGTGGCATCGGCTCTCGCATCATCTCTTCATCAAAATGATAATAATGATGATAGTGAATCTGTGCATCTTCACGTGGTGGAAGAGGGTACTTCCACACGTGCACGTTGTAGTTATTACCAAACAGGTGGAGTAGTCGTGTTGAATGCACGTACACTCTGTGCAGACTTATTACACCGGCGGGTATCACGTGAGTTGGTAGGTGTTGTTATTGTTTTACTACCGCAGGGATGTTCATATCGTTCAGAGAGTAATTTATCCAGTATTGCTTTTTGTTCAGAGATATTATTACGTGGTGGTAGTACTGTTCTTCTTCCTACAAGTAGACCTTATCCAGTGTTTATTATTCTTTCAGATGATCCATGTGCGGTACGTTATTTAGTGCAAAGACGACATATAGGGAAAGAACCATTTCTTTCAAAATTACATGTGGATGATATTCAACTCTTTCCACGTTTTCGTCTTGATGTTGTACGGCACTTTGAACAATTAGCGAAGGAACGACCACTTGCAGTTGAACGTGTGACGGTTGGAACTTCAAAAAGTGTTGCGGCTCTTGATGGGTTACTTTCTCAGGTGATTAAAGAAGTTTTGGCAGAACTTCAGGCTCTCGAAATACGTCTTTCCTCAAATTCACAGAGTCTTCATAAGGGGAATGAGAGAGAGGGTAATAGTAATGGTAGTTTTGATAGTACCCATACTCATAGCTCTCATTATCATCATCATCATCATCGTAATAATAATAATAATAATAATAATAATAACAATAACAATGATGATCCATTTGCACGTATGCAGCCATTATCACGTCGTTCACGATTAGAACATCAACAACCTCCACGATATGTTCGAAAACCATGGATGTCTTTTTCAGATTCCACTCTCATTTTATTTTCTCGTATTCGTGAAGAAGACGCTTTAGATGTGGTGGACTTTAGTTTAGAAGAAGATATGCAATCGGCTCTACGTGCGCATGAACCATCGTGGCCATTTGCTAAATTGATTGAAAGTCTGTTGGATGTACGTCGACTACGACGGACTTTGCGTCGACTTTCACCCTTTGCGTGGCTCTTTACACTTGAAACTGTTTTGGCTTCTCGCACACGGCGATATACATATACGCGTGATCATACAATCTCATCAGCGGGAACTGCAGGGGTTCAACCACCGGATGCTCCATGGACATTATCGAAGCACTTTGGCTCAATTGTTGCACTGGCGATTCACCGTATTGGTAGAATAGAAGTGCGTTATAATAATAATAATAATAATAATAATAATAATAATAATAATAATAATAATAATAATAATAAAATTAGTGGGGGTGGTAGTGGGAAGGAGAAGGACTCTTACCGATGTGTTGCGGATTCCCATGTTGTAGTGGAAGATGAGGATTTGGATGTTTCTGGGGATGATGGCGATGTGGTCTGTGTGGATCCCCCATTTGGATTACAATCCAATCAACAACAACAAGAACAAGAAGAACAACGACTTCTTCTTCCCCGCAGTGATGAGGCAGATCCATCTATGGAGTATGCTAACCGCGTTGTACAGAGTTGGTGCCGGAATGTACGCCGTAAATCATTCAAAAAATGTTCAACTGATCCTTTACTAATGGTGGTTGTTTTTGGAGAACGAGCACTGCGACGATATGTATGCCGTCTCACTCATTCTTTAGAAGAATTTCAAACCTTTGAACTTAATAGTTTTATTGCATCTTATCAGTCAAAGCATGGTGCTAATATTCGTCAACGGACAGAGGTCCCAACATTGGAGAAACCCACTGCCGCAAATTTACGTACATGGTTTCTTTCAGATGCCGTTGATGATGATGATGATAACGTTGAAGAAGGAGAAGAAGAAACAGAGAGTAATGATGATAAACAGAGAATCCCTCTCTCACAAGAGCCAAGTTTTCTCTTTTCACAAGATAGTCGTATACAGAATAATAATAATAATAATAATAATAATAATAATAATAATAATAATAATAATAATAAAACAGCATGTACTCCAGGTGGTGCTCCTTCACTTCATCAATTGCTGTTAAGCCAGACACCTTTTGAGAATCTATCTGAACAAGAAGCGCAATTGCCTTCACAAGGTCAGAATCCGAAGGAGAATGAGGAAGAAGAGGGATATCGCCGTGTTACTTTATTGGATGTTGAGAGTGTTTGTGGTGGTATTGCACATCTTTCTGGATCTTCAAATGTTGATAGTATCGCATCATCACCTTCTTCTCACGTTGTAGTGGTGGACGCTGCACAATTACGCACTTCCGAACTAATTGCGATGTTAAAAGGTACACATGAATTAATGGCGAAACCAACGCATCTTCTTATTGTAGAACAGCAACTCCGTTTTCTTCGCATGTTAGAAATGGCACAGGATGCGTTATCCTCACAAGCTTTGGGACAACTTCGGGTTCAAATGCTGGTTGAGCATTTAGAGGAACCTTTAACAGCAGACCGTATAGTAATGGAAGAAAGAGAGGCATTTGAAGGATTAGCACATGCAAAGGCAACACTAACAGGAACACTTCTCACAAGTCGTGATGCAATTCGTGCGGTACAAGAGCGATTGGAGTCTGGAGAAGTGACTGAAAATAATTTTGGTCGTGCACGACGTAATATCTCAGTACTTCAAGATGGTCGTAATTTTAATAATAATAATAATAATAATAATAATAATAATAATAATAATAATAATAATGTTAATTATGGTAATGGAAATGATGAAACTTTAAATACGGTTAATGCACCACCACTTGTTGTATTTGATGAGCGGGAGTTTCGTTCACTTCTTCCATATGCGTTGTATTGTCGAGGTATTGATCTTGTACCATTAACACTTGCGACTGCTGATTATGTACTTTCACCAGAGTATGCTTTAGAACGAAAGAGTGTTCCTGATTTTATTCAATCCTTGTTCTCTGGTCGTATACATACACAATTAGCAACTCTCTCAAGACGATATGAACACCCAATGTGTCTTATCGAGTTTGACCGTGGTGCACCTTTTCGTCTTTCTTTCGCAGCCTCTGCAGCATTAAATGATGCCCCAAGTCGTAATTTTACATCTACTGGTGTTTCTGGTATGAATGGAGTAAATGATGGTGTTGGACTTTTTGCTCGTGCGGCTCGTTTATTTGCAGCTTTCCCACGTGTTCATATTTTATGGTCACGGGATGCTACCCAATCTGCTGGTATTATTTATACATTAAAGAGTAGTTGTGCTCGTGCTTCTGTAGACCCGAGTGCCCCATCTCTTACGCGTGCAAATGTGGATTTACATGATTCCGATGCCGCGAAGGAGACGGCACATCTCGCCGCACGTGTTTTATCATGTTTCCCTGGAATTACGCCAAGTAACGCACCGCGGGTGATGGAGACATGTGGTTCACTTGCTGGACTGGCAACTGTTGATGAATCAGCACTAGTGTCAGCAATGGGAGAAGAAGATGCGAAGAAACTTTATACCTTTCTGCATGAAGATCTTGTGGCAGCAGTGGATTAGTGTGGGAACAGAAGAAGAAGAAAAAAAAAAAGGAAGGTATGCCGAATTTGTTGTATATATATATATATATGTATTTTTTTTTTTTTTTTTTTTTTTTTTTTTTTTTTTTTTTTTTTT